TCAAATAAAAAACAACATTAATATGTTGCGTGGAAGTTAGTAAGGGTTTGAAATAAATACAAAATAAAATCCTATAATTAACCTGTTTTTATAAAAGTGGTGTTCCTTTGAGTAACTACCTTGTAATCATATTTAATCTTGATGAACTGGGAACAAAATACAGAACAAAAATTATAGTCAGACTGACTTAATTAGTTTTAAATCAAAACACCTGAGCTGCTCGGATGAGCTTCGATAGCTAAGTGTGAGAAACAGCTGAGACCAGGCTGTTCTCTCCATCCTGTCTGTTCCTCTGCTTGGTTTGGATGGTTGTCAAAACCGAAATGGAACTCAAACATATTTTTGATAAAAGCTTGATTTATTTTTCAGTTTGGTCCTCACAAAGAGAAACAGATCCCAGCCCTATTTTATTCCCTAGGAAATAAATTATTTTCATGTACTCCTTGCAAAGCACTTGCAGACCACTAGGGTATGAGTACCCCCGGTTGGGAATCACTGGTTTAATGGACAAAAAGTCAAGTCAACTGTCGTTCCTAATTGTTGTGCTGGCAAGAACACAAACAGAACAAAGCATGTTTCTATTTAGGGTAAGCATCTTTTTTTTATTGCTTATTAAATTATTTATTTGATAATGGAATATTCTAATAAAGGAAATTTTCCGTAGTACTTTATATAAATTACAATCATTAGAATGAAAACAAACAACAGCTATATGGATCACAGTTTGAAACTAGCTTAACACTACATCTGGTACAAAGCACGTTTATTGATAATATTCATATTGTCCCAATTAAATAAGCATATTAACTAATGTTACTAAATGCAGAATGATATCATTAGTTTTGTATTAAATGTGCTGTATGTACTGAAGGAGTTCCACTTGGAACTGGAAATAGACTGCAAACACCTTATTTACTATGGAAACTTTATAGACACTTGTAAAATGACTGCATGATAGATTGATTATGAAAATCACAATAAAATCAGCATCTCACTTTAAAATATCAATAGACCTTTTTAAGTGGATAGGATTTTTTTATATATATGTAACTCCAGATTCAAAATTAGCTTGAAATACAAAGAGAGCCAAACAGTTGCATTGTATATTTTTTTCTTTAATCAAAATTGACAAAAAAAAAAAAATCAAACAAAGCATAAAACCTTACCTGGGTCACCCAGTCATTATGAACCTTCCATCTGACAAATGTTATGTTATGAGAGTGGATGGCATTTTTGATCGAAATATTAGGCACATTTCCAGCCTTTGGTAATCTGTTCCATAATCTGCAAAAAGAAAAGTTCAGCTTTGTGTGGGTGATTGGTGAAACCTGCAGAGAGGCAATGCTAGAATTTTCCATCACATACAGGTTTTCTGTGGACTTGGAAACTGCACACCCGACTATGCTTTTTATCATTAGTGGTTCTCATACCAATTTTCTATGGAGCCAGAAATAATTTCTCAGCCGTTGGAGGCATGGTGTGAGTCAAGCGACTGAGTCAACTTTTAATGGCCCATTTCATCAGTTGGTGAACACCTACCAATGTACCCTTAAATGCTTCTGGTAAAACTGCAGACTGGATGCATTAACAGTTTGAATCAAATCAAGTCATGGAGTTCACAGATAAAATTCAGACATTCAGCACAGCATGTTCTCTTAGTAATGGCTATAAATTGATCACATTCAGGAGTACTGAAGGATAACTCTTGTTCGAAGATTCTCTGTGTCTTGAAAATACAGTAGATTATTTTATATTAAAAAAGACAGTTGAAAGGGGTTCTCTATGGGCAGATTTCGAATTCAGATTGATTTTAGATCAAATTGCTGAGTTAAAGGTTTTTTCCTTTATTTGCATATTTCTGAGCTTTCACAGTGTGTCCTTTCAATGACCCTGATATCCAACAGCTGAAAGTCCAGAGAATAAGCCTCCTGCACCAGGCGGCATTGGCTTTTCACCTTCATAAAGGTTGTTTCTAAATTACAGATGTCTCTACAATTTTCTGGATACCAACTATTACTGCATTTTTAATTCTTGGTATATACTTCAATTATTCAGTAAATAGTATTTTAAGTTTTTCTTTCAGTTTAACTCTATTTGTGTTGCTTTATTATGTTTTTTGTCATCTTTCATCAGAAGCTTCTGCTGGGCATCACATATCGATATTAATAAATAAATAATATATATATATATATATATATATATATATA